TAGAGGGTCACGATGGTCACAGAGGGCTCGAGGGTCGTTGAGGCCGTTCAAGGGTCAAGGGTTTGAGGGTCGGGGGTTCGAGGGTTCTAGGGTCGAGGGTTCGAGGGTCGTCGAGGGGTCGAGGGTCGCCGAGGGGTCGAGGGTTGCTGAGGGTTCGAGGGTCGAGGGTCGTTGAGGGGTCGAGGATCGCCGAGGGGTCGAGAGGTTGCCCAGTGTCAAAGTATTGAAGAAATCCATGGCTCCATCATTAGCGGAAGTAACCATGGCATGATGGTACGAAGTTCTCCAAAGTTATTCTGGAACGGAGTCCCGGATAGGATAATCCACCATTTGGTACAAATTTTAGCACAGGCCTTCCAAATAGCAATATTCGGAAGGCTCTTGCTGTACTTTATACCAAAAAGCGAATTATCCTATCTGGGATTCTGTCCCAAAATAACTTTGGAGAGCTTCGTATCATCATGCGCCTGTTACTTTAGCCTAATGATGAAGACATGGTTTTTTTTGAATCCTTTGACACTACACAAACGTCAGACAATCATGAGAGAGAGGCGGTCGATATACCCCCTCTCCAATAACTTCGATAAGAGGGGGGGTCGATATATATACCCCCTCCCCGATAACATTTTTTTCTATGTATATGTCGTCGTTGTCGATATACCCATTCCCCGATAACTTCGATATATCCATCTCTCATGTTTATATATTAATTGCCATGTTGTAATATTTGCAGAAACTATGGATCATAAAAGAGACTTCGATCAAGAAGAGATATTGGGGGACATAATCCGTGACGGAGGTGATGTAGTCGCGTCGTTTCTGAACGACATCGAAGAAGGTCTGCAAGGAGAGGAAGCAGGCCACATTGATCAAACAATGGAGGAGGGTCATGATCATGATGGTGGCTCCGGCGACCGTGATGACAGATCCGGTGACCGAACGGAGTCGGGATCAACTGTTGCAAAGTCCGACGACGTTGTAGGACTTGGTTCTTCGGGGCTGGTGGAACATTGGACCCTAAAACAGGGAAGTGCTGCTGGACGAACGAGCAACGTGCAACACCCGTCATGAAGTTTCGGAAAGCAATCAACAAAGTGCGGGAAGGGAAGTTCGTTCCCGACAAAGAGAAAGACAAGCTCACAAAGGGCCCTCGGGAATCCTGAGCACCCTGGACGAACATGAGGCACGCCAGGCTCCGTTCCGTGGAAGGTTGGGTTTCCCGACGCAGGCAGTTATAAAACCCAAGAGAGGAGGAGGAAAGTGGAGCAGAGTGAAATGTAGGAGCTTAAGGCAAGGGTAATAAAGCTAGAGGAACGAGATGCTGAGAACCAGCAGCTGCGAGATCCTGCCCAAGATGCTACCCCAGAAGCTACCCCGCCATCTCAGCGGAGAAGCAGCGTGGCTTCCACCGAGTTTGTTTAGCAATCTGACTTGTTGACGGGTCCTCGCTACCCCGTGGATTTTATCATGGATTCACACCAGTGTCACCTTATGACGCAATGGGATCAACTCAAATTCAAGGCGACTGTTGGCTCTGTGTTCCCTCCTTCACCCAGAGCAACTTTTCACCGCCGTCCGATTCCACAAGGCTATGCTGTTGTGATGGTGGACGAAATAACAGAGGGATTTGAGGAGCTCCAGCTTGACCACCCTACAGGTGATAGGGAGACTCAGCTGGGTCTTGCTATGCATACTCCGTGCCTATGGCGGAAGGAGCACATCAAGCTTCTGAACTTCATTGCTCCTGCTAGTCAGCTGGGCACTCCGCCTCCTCCGCCTCCTCCTCCTCCTCCGGCGAGTGATCAGGGCACTCCGCCTCCTGCTCGAGCGCGTGAGGGCAGCAGTACTCCGCCTGCTCCGCCCCGTCCGAGCAGCCCGCATCCTCCTTCGCCGTCTCGTAAGCGACGGCGGAACATAGACGCCACCGCTCCGGCTGCTCCGGCGCGTCGTAGCAGTCCGCCTTCGGCTGCTCCGCCTCTTAACGAACGAAAGAAGACAGCCGCAGCCGCTCTGGCTGCTCCGGCGTCTAGCAGTACAGCCAGAGGCAGAAGGCAATACATATGCGGTCCATCGTCTATCAAGCCTGTAGAACGGGAGGCAGTACAGCCAGAAGCAGAACGAAGGAAAGGGAAACAAATTCCCTAGCTCGGCGAACAACCAAAGCAATCGTGCCCCCCGCTCAATGTTGTCTAGCGACATCGTCGCTAATCTTCCGGGGGTGCTGCGCGGTACCAACCCTGGAGATTACATGGCCGACAATGATGCAATAATTTTTGGAACAATGGAGGTGGACATATTCAGATTCGAGCACGGGAAGCCTCTCGTTAGACTTGGTACTTCCCTAACAACGATGATGCAAAGATTCCAAGATTGGCACATGGACATCTGCACAAAGTCTGGGAAAAATACTTTGTTGCTATTGGTTAAAGGGGAGCACGACCTCGTTGGAATTGATCTGTTGTCAGTTCCATTTGAGGAGTTCTTCCAGTTCTACAATCAAATGGCCCTCGATAAAACAATCATCACTTGCTACTGTCTGTAAGTACTACTTCTCTGTAATTAGTTATATCTCTACATATAGCTCAGCTCTTTCATTGCATGTATATATAATTATCCTCACTATATTATGCAGATTGAAGATCGCCGAATTGAAGAAAAGACAAGTAGGTGATATTGGGTTCATTAACACAAATCTAAACATGATGCTAGACAAACCGAGGCCAAGTTGCTCACATCATTACTTCGAAATCAAAACAAAGCTACAATACTGTTTCCTTACGAATACAAGTGAGTGTTACTGTCTTGTGTATATTCAGTTTCCCTTATTACTCGAGGTTATAGTAATGTAATTGATGAGTTATGCATGCATGCGCAGGTACCACTTTATTCTGCTAGAGATTAAGCTTGAGCAGGGACTAGTAACCGTCATAGACTCCCAACGAAAAAATCCGGAGGAGTATGCGACCATGACTAAAATGCTCAAGAAGTAAGTTCAATCGATCATTATCGCACCATATCGGCAACTTTGTTCATTTCCTGATATCAAGTACTTGTTTTCTTTGTCTGGCAGGGTTTGGAAAAAGTTCACCGCACAAGCTACGGGACTGCCGACGCAACTGAGATTTGACCACCCGAAAGTAAGTACTAGCTACTAGCTAGTTCCGCGCATCTCCCATTGATTCTAGCTAGTTTCATTAATACCATTTAGCATGCTTGCTTATCAATTTGATTGACCTCTATTTCTTGTAAAGTGGTTGTGGCAGGAACCCGGGAATGATTTGTGTGGATACTACATTTGCGAGTTCATCCACCACACCACCTGTGAGCGGGACTACTCTAAACAACAATATGAAGTGTGTAAGCAATAATATTCATAATTTTTTTATTACCATCATTTGTGTTCAGTTTCATTCATATATATGTATTGACTCCCTTCTTGAAATTAGATGTGGCAGACGCGGGATGAACTACTACCACAAGATCGCATACGAGCAATTCAAGAGGAATTGGCGGGATTCTTTCTTGACCACGTCATCGACAAACACGGAGAATACCATGTGGAAGTTGAGTTCAGATGTTAGGGGACGTAAGAGATCTTATATTGTATATATATATATATGTAGTCAGTAGCGTCGGATAAATATACGAAAACTTGTTGTTCGACCAACCTATCGAAGAAGGAGAGGTCGATCACTTCTCTGTGTTCATGACGATCTTATGTACTTAATGGTTTTCTTCATTTGCTTACTAGCTAGCTAGCGTGTCGAGTCCTCTCTATACGTAGCGTCGACCAAGCACGGAGATAAGATAGTACACTCCTCTCTATTAGCTAGCTAACAGAATATATGA